TGCTGAAAATGCAGTTGTTTGTAGATGTTTAGACAAAGTAAGGTTATTGTTAGGCAGCATAAAGGGAAGAAAGTGTTTTAACCTGAGCAGTGCTGTTTGTTACTAGCTTTGGACTGAACTGGGTGATTTCTTCTTCTGTGTGGACAGACAGTGCCACTTGAAACAGAAATGAAGTGCAAATCAGGCCAAATAAATAAGTGTTGAAAAGACAAAACCCAAATGGGTTTATGGCTTCTGGGACTGATTTTCATTAACATTTACATAACATAAAAATAATTTTGCTTTTAGTAGTAGTATCAGTGAAGTATCAATATCTGTTTGCTCTTTAGTATGGATGAAGATAAACTCAAGTAATATAATATATAGTGAATCATTTCTTTTTACAAACTCTTTATTGGGCTGTTATAGCATTCATGCATCAAAAATTGGTATAAACTATTACACTGTGAAGATAGTGGCCATATACCATATTTTCTTGAACATAATAGGCCCCTGAATACAACACACAGTTTGTTTTTGATAGGTAGAATGAAGAAAAAAAGATCTTTTCTTGTAGCAAATAACTGGGCATGTCTGTACATGAAATTAATGCAGTGCAGTTTGTGCCGGAGTTTATTGCTCCTGGGTGCAGCATACTCATGAGCACCCAGGACTGTGGCACATTAAGCTGGGGTGGTACAGCCCCAGCTGGCACAGGGTGTGGGGTGCAGCCTGCCAGCCCAGAGCTGCTCCGCCCCAGCTCAGTGTGCTATGGAGGGGCTGGTTGGGGCATGAGGCTGTTCCATTGTAGAGCTGGCCAGCAGGCAGCCCCACACTTTAGCACTCTCATGCACCAGTCAGCCCCAGTCTCTGTCTACACATGTGTTTCAGCAGAGTAAATAACTCCGCCATAGAATAGTACTTGTGTTGGGCAGTACTATCCTACAGAGGAATTAATTAGTTTACTCCAGTCTAATAGCACCGCTTGCATAGATGGTGCACTTTACAGTGGAGCTAATTAGGCAACTTTGCAGTAAGCATCTCATGGAGATGCACCCATTGGGTAGCAGCAGCATAGGTGCCAACTTTTATTTTTGCTGGAGGGGAGGCTAAGATGATGGACATGTGCCCGCCCCCCATCCTCAGCCCCCTAGTGTGTGGAGAATGGGGTGGGTGTGTTGGGAAGGAGGGGGTGTGGGCACAGGCAGTGCATGGGGACTGGGAGGGGGCACAGGTGACATGGCAGGGGGTGGGGGAGCATGTGCCCCTTGAGATTTCTGTGCCCATAGTGCACAGGGCTGCAGCTGGACTGGACCAGCTCTGGGCAGGAGCTGCTCCATGGCCCAGTGGGTGGCACTTTGGACTGGAGGGAGCGCCATGCTGCCATGGCTGTCAAGGTGAGGCACCCTTGCCCATACAGCAGCAGTGGGGGGCACAGCTCCATGCTGCTGCTGCTGCTGCTGCCACACCTCACTTTGGTGGGCCATGGTCCTACCTGCTGGGCCATGGAAGTGGCTCCAGTCTGGAACTGGTCTGGCCCTGCTGCATCCCTGGACCCTGCTGTGGGCACAGAAGTCTCAGGGGGAACAAGCCCCCCACCATGTCACCTTGGGACCCCTGCTCCTCTCCACCATGTCATCTGTGTTCCCCTGCCCCCCTGATGCATCACCTATGCCCCCCACCCCTCTGACACATTGCCTGTGTCCCTTAGACTTACCTGGAGGGGAAGCTATGGGAGCTGCTCTCCACTGTTGCTTGGCTGCCACATGCATGTGCATGCACACATGCATGTGGCGCTTCCTGCCTCCAGTCACCCTCCCCATTTCCCCCAGCCCCAAGCAGCCCCTTGCAGGCTGGAACTGCCAGCCTGCCAGGGGAAACCCATGGTTTCCTGCATTTTTCTCCTTTCTTCAGTTTTGGGCCCTGACAGCCCTTTTCCCAAGTGAGGCTTGGGCCCTCAGGCCCCCATTTACTCGGTGCTTGTGAGCAGCAGGTAAGGAGCAGAGCTTGCTCATTGTTCTGCTCCCTGTTAATCATGTGCAGAGTTTACTTTCATTTTTGTCTAGTAAGGCAGAAACTGTGCTTATTGTAGTTTTGCATATAATGTGCACCAAAATTCTCAGCAGCTGTTTTTTAGAAATAAGGTACATGTTTTATGTGAGAAAATATAGTAAATATCCAGGTATCTAACTAACTAAAGGAGAAGAGACAGAAATTATGTGAAGTCCAGTAGGGACTCTGCTGTTGTCATGCAAAATAAATTGACAATAGCTTAGATGTAGTAGCAGGATAAAACCCAAAAAGAGAGGAAGTGAGAGATTTTCCTGCAAGTCTGAAATGTGTACTAATCTATTTTTTGATAAATCCTGATTTGGCATTTAATTTATTTGTACATTCAGTAAATACATTGAAAGAGAGTTGTTTTTTCCAAGAAGTAAACCTTCGGGAAACACTGG